AGGAACAACATGTCTCCTGGAAGCGGCTGAGTGAGCAGAGGGGGCGAAGCGAGGTAAGACTTCAGCTTGTTAAAGGCACGCTGGAAATCTTCGGTCCATTGGAAGTCCTTCAGTTTCTTGATGGCTCGAAAGAAAGGTAAACAACGGCCATCCGACTTTGACATGAATCGGTTGAGGGTAGCCACCCGGCAAGTAAGTCTTTGAGTTTCATCGATCGACCGAGGTGGTCCCATGTCTAGTATGGCCTGAATCTTCTCTGGGTTGGCCTCAATACCCCACTACATGACGACAAAGCCCAAGAATTTGCCTAGGTGACACCAAAAGCACACTTGCTGGGATTAAGATTTATGTTGTACTTCCGCAAAGTGGCGAAGGTCTAGGCTAGGTCTGAGGTGTGTTGGTCATCCTTTAGGCTCTTCACAACCATGTCATCTACATAGGCTTCAACGTTTCTCCCCATCTGGTGCTTGAAAACCTTGTTTACAAGTCGTTGGTAGGTGGCGCCAGCGTTCTTGTGGCCGAAGGGCATGGCTTTGTAGTAGTAGGTGCCATGCTCAGTAATAAATGAGATGCCATCATCAACATGCATTTTGATCTAATTGTATCCAGAGAAGGCTTCCATGAAGCTCAATAGCCCATACCCTGTGGCGGCATCGACGAGGTGGTCAATCCTCGGCAAAGGAAAGTTGTCTTTGGCCAGGCTCGATTGAGGTCTGTGAAGTCAATATTGATTCATCCTTTCCCGTTAGCCTTCTTTACCATGACCACATTGGACAACCAGTTAGGGTAATGTACCTCTCGAATGAAGCCGGTGTCAACTAGTTTGTCAACCTCCTCTCCAATGGCTTCCCAACGTTCCGATGCAAAGTTCTTCTTTTTCTTCCGAAATGGCCTACAGCTTGAGTCCACACTTAGCTTGTGAGTAATGACCGAAGGGTCAATTCTAGGCATGTCAGCGACAGACCAAGCAAAGACATCAACATTGGTTTTGAGGAAGCTTACCAATTTGGAAAGGGTGCTTGGAGGAAGGTTGGACCCGACATGCACCATCATCGCGGGCTCGTCTTCATCTAGGGGAACCAAGATGAGGTCCTCATGTGGTTGGTATCAGCTCGTTGGCTCATCCTTGAGGTCAAGCCCGTCCAACAGCAAAGCTTCTTTGTTCTTCCCTTTCAGCGCTGCCACATAGCACTGTTGGGCTGTCTACTGGTCCCCATGAACGACCCCGAAGCCGTGCTCGATGGGGAACTTGAGGGTGAGGTGGTAGGAAGAGATGGTTGCCTTGAGTGTGTCAAGGGTTAGCCAGCCGATGATGACGTTGTAGGGGGAGCCGATCTTCACGACCAAGAGCTCAGTCATCTTCGTCACCTATGGAGGCTCCATTCCTACTGTGATTGGTAGGGTGATTATTCCCTTCGGTTCGATGACGTTTTCAGAGAAACCGGCAAGTGGTATGTCGGCCGGCTATAGCTGCTTTGCAGTGAGTTTCATCTTCTCAAATGTGTCATGGAATAGGATGTCTGCCGATGATCCACTATCGATGAGGACCCTCTTTACCATGAAGTTGGTGATGGTCATTGTCACCACCAACGCATCATCGTGGGGCACCGAGACCCCCCTTCAAGTCATTGTCCGAAAAAGAGATGACCTCGCCCTTCTTTGGCTTCTTGGAAGATGGCCCCTAGATGGTGAGCTTCCTAGCATAGGCCTTTCGGGCTGAGGTCGAGGCTCCACTCGAGACCATGCCCCCACTATGACGTCGATGACGCTGACCAGGTTGTGCTACTATTGTTGTTGTAGCTGCTGTGAGGAAGAAGCGCCCGCATTGCCCCCCATGTGCTCATTTAAGTGACCATGGCAGATAAGGGACTCGATCTCATTCTTCAGGTCGTAACAGTCCTTAGTGTTGTGGTTGGTGTCATAGTGGTACTTGCAATATTTCTTCGGATTACCCCTCTTGGGGTTCTTCTTCATCTTCTCATGCCACTTCATCCACTCCTCCTTAACTACCTGCATGAGGATTTGCGTTCGGGTGGAGTTGAGTGGCGTATACTTGTTGTAGGTGAGGGCTGGTGGCTTCTTGTTATCATTTTTGTTGTTGTTGTTGTTGTCGTGACCGTGTCCATTCTTCATCTTCTTCTCCGAGCCCCCATGGTTGTGGTCGGCCTCGCCTTCTTAGCGCTCGCCAACCGAGGCCTCCTCGGCAGCGATGTACTTCTAGGCCTTCTTCAAAAATTCCGCCTTGGTTTTGGGTGGTGTCCTGGAAATGGAGCATTTGAGGAGCCCATGCAGGAGGCCATTGATTGTTGTGTGCATGGAGATCATGAGGTCGAGGTCTCAGACCTTGAGCACTTCTTTCTTGAGCCCATGCAGGTAGGACCGTAGATTCTCGCCATGCTTCTACCAGAGAACTATCGGCGGGCTGCCCCCTTGAAGGTCTCTTGGAAAGTCCAACAAGTCAGGCGTCGGAATATCCGTAAAGGAGCATGAGTGCCTGATAGCTTTCCAGGTGATCGTCCAGATCAGTGGTTCTATTGTACATCTCTAGTGTGGGACCTTTGAAGTGGTGCGAGAGGGGCTCCGGGGTGATGGAGTCAGTGAAAGCGTCCATTTTGTTGGATGAAGGGTTATGACTTGTAGAAGCATCACCTCGGTTCTCCTTAACCTATCGAAATTCATTTTGCATGGCGCCGATTTGTGCTTGTAAGTCGACAATATTCTGGTCGATGGGAGCCTGGGCCTCATCCTGGTCCTCTCAGACGTAGAACGGGTCGGCCCAGTTCCCAGAGTGTTCTAACGCAGGCACATCCTAGTTCTTTCTAGCCCGTCAGTTGTTGATGAAATCGCAGAGGTCCAAAACATGTGAAGGAGAGGCGTGACATCAGCCCTCAGCCCTCGGAGGACTATAGTGGGTAGAGCACCCACCTTCGTCCCGGGGGCTTTCCACTTGATACTGTATGTCATGGTCCCGATGGTTATCGCAGGACCCTGCATGATCTCCTCCTCGTCGGCTGGGGAGGCAGGAGGTCTTCGATGGTTGGCTAGTGCGTCGACTGCTACTGTTGGACCTTGAGGGGTCCTCCCTATTGGGACTGACTGGGCGTTGAACCAACGGAGCTTGGGAAGAGCATCCACTGTGGTGCCCCAAGCTCCTAGCGGGGCGGCTACCCTGTGGGCAACCTCCTACTAGGCGCCCCAAGCTCCTAGCGGGGCGGCTACACTGTGGGCAGCCTCCTACCTGGCCCCCCAACTTGTCCAGTCTTTGCGTGATGTTATCGAGCCAGTTAAGGACCATCCGGAATTGGCCCATGGTGACATGGTTCTGAGCATTTTGCATATTGTTCTGGTTACCGGCCATTACATTGGAAGCTTAGTAGTTGATATTAGAATAAGTGTTTAGTTGAGGGAAGTCTTAGCAGTCGTTCCCACTGGCGGCGCCAATTGTTGTTGCCAAGGATGGGCTGAGGGCAACAATATAACTACGCTTCCGAGACGAGGGCTTGTTGATGTGACCGAGGGTTGATAGAGCTGAGGGCCTTTAAGTCCGACCTGTAGAGAAGGAAACACATCAGAGGCCCCGAGTGTTATCCTAGGGCCGGAGTCTCTGATGGTCAGGTTAGCAAGGGCACAATGAAGGGGCCGGGCGAGGCCTGAGTAGAATAGCTCAGACAAGGTCACCAAGGAGCTAGAAAGCTTAAAGCAATAAATGTCAAGATGCATTATGTCATAGTGACACCACCTATTTATAGCTGAACTTGCGTGGAATTAGTTATGAACAGACCAAGATGTGATCTGGCCTGTGCCATGCGTCACCATCCTAAGCCTGCCATGTGCACCCATGCCATTGGGCCTGCCATGTGCGCCTACATCAGCTTCTAATAGTACCCATATATATTTTTATGTACAGAAATATTATGAATGAACTCAATATTCCTCGAGGCTCATTTGCAAAAAAATGTTATGAAGATTATTATTCGAGTAAAATTGTGGTTCTTTGGTAATGTGGTGCCTATTGGGATTTCTCTTAATTGTTCTCTTTTCTTCGTTTTATGTTAGCAAATTATTAAAAGATGACATGAGAAAAGGAAAAGACTAACTGGAAGAGAAACTAAAATTGCTGATGAGTAAATATACATTATGGAAGATGAAAATTTCAGTCTTATCTAGAAATAATTTCTTAAGGATATATAGACTTCTCTCGTTCATGTTTTGGAATAATTGCTCTTGAAAAGTAGCAATTGTGTCGGAGAAGTGGTTGATTCCCCACTTCACCCCAAATAGAAAATAAGTAGAGTTTGAATTTAGATATGTATTAGCAAATGTTTACGTGGCAGTATCTCTAAGATAATTATTTATAATTTATGGGTGATTTCTAAATGGTTATAACTGATAAATAGACGGTTTCTAAATTGTTATGAACAGTTTTTGAAATGAGAGTAAAGGATATATACCCTCTTTATTCTTAAACAAGAAGATAAAAATATCCGATAAAAATTGTAAAAAAAAAAAAAAGAATTCACTCTTTTATAAATAGTATAGATAGTCTGATATAATACATGAACTATTTTCTATCATTTTTGCCCATTTGTGATCACTAATCACTGGACAAATTTCACCGAGTAATTGTTATATAGATAGACATCCATGACAGATCTGATGAATCACTCAAACAAAACAGATAAGAATAGCCAATTTGATATATGTTGACTTAAACTAGAAATTCTGACTTGAATATTATAGCAGCAATTTGATATATGAGGAAGCAAGCAGAATTTACTATTGATAAGGTCGTCCATGAAGGCTAAGGATTGAGCGATGGCTCTCGAGACCTCCATATTGTTTATTTGTTTTCATGGACGTACGACCTGATTAGAACTTGTGACACTCCAGACTGCAGAAAATTGGGCTGTGATCTGTTCCACCATTCCATATTCCGGCATTCATTTAAAATATATATTGTTTACATCAACTATATATTTATGCAATAAAAGTACTGGTGATTACGAGAAAACAAAGGCCAGAGGGGATATAGACTCTCACTCCGAGACCTATATATATATGCCTGTGGATGTTGGTTTTGCCATTTCGGTACTAATTAAGGCCAGAAAAGTGACATACTTGATTAATCCAGTACAACAAGTAGTACACTATTGTGATACTCCGGTAAGTTGGCACAGGCAGGACGTTTAATCGTCTCCGTCTGAACAGTGGCTGAACAAAGAGCTAAATCTGATTGTGAGTACTATGTAGTTGATTTAACGTCAAAATGAAAATAATCAAGATTCAACGCCGGGCCCGGGTGGTTGCATTTGAAGTTTTGAAATCGTGGGCAGTCGTCGGTCAGTCACCAACCGGAAATTTGGAATATGGAGATCGCAGCAAACTCTGACCAACATTCCTCACAAATTCTGCAACTGCGGCGTACTCGTCGAGCGCCCTAACATCCGCCCGGCATCGCAAGAACTGCGGAAAGAACAACCAGGAACTGGTGGCTAATACGAACGAAGCGACCAACGGCCGCGACACCGCCCCATGCAATCGCCACCCCCACCTGCCGACCAACGCCTTTTTGGCAGCAATCTCCAAGACCAAGCACAACCCGTGGAGGATGAAGAACCACGTAACCTCCCAAGTGGGCTCCACGCGTCCCAGGTAAAAGAAGATGAGCTCGTGTATAAGACCCGACACCACAAATGTCGCCATTGTGGCGGGTAGTGCGGCCCACTTCCTTCCTATTACCTGCGTAAAGAAGCCGCGTGTAGGCTCGTATACCGTTGGGCGTAGGATATTAGTGACCATGATGTTCCATCTTCGTCCCCAGAAGTCCTGCAGAGAGGTGGAGAGATAGGGCTCGTCGAACTGTCCCTCGAGCTCTAGATTGAGCAGGACGCGAGCCAGGTAAGCGGCACCGGCGAGAATGACTTCAAGGAGGAAGTAAACGTGAAAGCAGTAAAGAGTCAAGATGACCTTTTGGTGGAAATACGGTCTATAGTCGTAGACTCGGATAAGTAGAGCTAGCAGTAGAGCTTTAATGGCATAGTTAAGAAGTGATTTGGGGGATTTTCTTGCTATATGATTATGGGGAGATGGGTTGTCTCTTTTGTTATTTAAATCAGCAGACGGATTTGGGGTTTGTGGTGGAGATGGATCTTGTTTGATTTTGATGGGAAGACAGGCTACGGAGATGAAACAGAAGGGGGAGATGGATGGGTGAGATGACAAAGGGCCCTTACCGAAAGAGAAAAGGAGGAGCTTGAAGTTAGCGAGCCAAGCGACGAAGAAAGCTGTGGTACCTCCGAGATGGACGGTGTGGAGTTTTAGCGGGAGAAGAAGAAAGAGGCCGCAGATGGGGAGAGTGGTTAACAGCCTCAACTTGCCTTTTGGGACCTTTGAAGCTACAAAGTAGCAGAAGCATAAGGATACAAAAACTGTGATCCATACTTGGATAAAGTTGTTGATTTCCCCCTCCATGCGCAGCTCTCTCTCTTTCTCTATATATATATTATCAGCTTCTGTTACGTTGGACTCTTTTTCTTTCTCTTCCCCTTGTTCAGTGAAGTTTCTATATAGACGTAGTTGCAGATATGTTGGGTTAACTGTGGGGAAGAGCGAAGGCAGTTGGTTGATGAGGACGATGATTCCAAAGTGCAAACTGCAATTAAACCAAGGTGCAAGACGTAAATGAGCGTTCATCAAAACTAGCTAGCCACTGCATGCGGTGGTTGGGGCTAATGACTTCTGATGATCAGTGCCTGTGGTTGCAGGGAAAATCCATGCTGAATTCAAGGAGCATGAACATGTTGTGTCTTATTGGCTGGAGTTTGGAAAACAAAATAAGTTTATTTTGTGGCTGCAACCACAAAATATATTTCTACCCCCCAGGGAAAATCCATGCTGAATTCCACATGCCATGTATTTCTACCCCCCAGGGCCCAGGCCAAAGATTAAATTATAAATATATATTTTAATAAATAATATAATATTTATTAAAATATATATTTATAATTTAATATATATATATATATATATTATTCTTTTTTATAATCTCTCTATTCAACCGTTCAGTAGTAGTAATAGTAACAGTATGAATTAAATTTTGGACTCGAATCTAGGCCTGGGCTTTGGAATTTTTATAAAAGCTAGCTCGGGCCCAAATTATAAATCCAATAGTCAGACCGGGCTCGGGTTCGAACCTTAAAAAATCTATTAATACGAGCTCGGCCCGGCATGCCCCTGAACAGGTCTAATGCCTACGGTAATATATGTACATGCCCTCCTTGAGCTTCCCGATGGCTAGCAAGCCGGTTAGCCCATAGAATTGTCTAAAACCGAGGAGACTGAGATTTAATTTTCATCCTATGATATCCCCAGGACAGAACAGGAGAAACAAGAGGATTGGGAATTAATTTAGAGCAATTGCCTAAGTATGCCACTGTAATTAAATAACTAAGCAGAGTAATCCGTGCTAAATACGGGAATGATTCTTGTGGCCCTTGTGGACTTTGAGCTCTTGAGGGTTTTTTTGGGGTAAAACGTAATTAAGGAGGGGAACTGTAGTCCTTTTTGCGGAATCAATAAGCTTGTTTCTCAAATCAATTGGTTTCGCCATTTCTTATAAATTATTAATTGTAACTAGATCGGTTGAACCATTAATTTATTTAACCAGTAAAATGGACCATGATTAAGATATTAATTTGTTTTTTTTTTTGTATTTTAGTCATTTTTATCTTTATTAATAATAATTCTTTTTTTAAGCATATTTTTTTAGTATAAAAATATATAATATTAATGTATGTTCAAATTTTTCTATAAAATTTATAAAAAATTTTATATTTTTATTTTTTATTATTTAATTTATGAGATAATAAAAATTACTTATTTACCAAGAGTAAATGCAATTCCAATATATTGTTTGAATATTGGTTTTTAATATATCAATTATATATATATATATATATCATTTATATAATATATATGTTATTTATTATTTATTTATAAATATGTTATTTATATTACATTTTTGTAAACTTCTTATATGATGAAAATAGTTGAAAAATACTTATATTTTTTGTTTTTCTTTATTTCAACTATTATATTTTCTTTTCCTTTTAATAATTTATTATTTTTTAAATTAAATTGGGTCGTATCAGATTAAAATATCCAACATATTGATTGGATTTAGATTTGAATCAATATTTATGAGATCTAATCAGATTTTTAGATCGAATCGAATTCAAATATACCCTCATTCAAATATGATATGTTCTATTTGCATCCCTACTAAACCACTTGCCTACAATGACCTATCTAATTAAATCCTTGAACCATTTGACATGGTTAGTGGGGTCATGTGTTAGACATTAATGCTCATTATTTTTTTATCCTAATTTTTATCTCATTTCTATCATTAATGAAAATAATTCTCATTAATCACACACTTTTTTATATGATGAATATCTAATATTATAAAATGTACCCAAAATTGTCAACAAATTTCTACATTTTCTAAAATTTTATGTATTTTATTATTTAATATAACATCACCCCTAACCCATCACTTGGATGGAAAAACCATTTTGCTTTTCGGGTCGATGGTTTAACCATCTGGTTAGAATGAACAACCCATTTTGACAAACAAATTAAAAAAATTAAAAATAAAAAACAATCAAAAACTATTGAACAGGTCGATAGTTCAATTGCTCGGGTCAACAGGTTGTTGAATTTTTCAACGGTCTTTGGCCAAAAACCGAGTTTGGGGTAAAATGGAACCACTTGCCTGGATAGTTTTCGAGCCGAATGGTCAGACCGTCCGGGTCAACGACGGTTCGAAAACCTTGGGTTGAACCACTAACCCACCCCCTAGATAGGAAGATGGTTTAATTTCCCATCGATTTTAAGTTGTATATAAGTATATTTGATGTCCACCATTAATAAAATTATGTTTATTTTATCATAGTTATATTTTAATATGACAAATATATAATAATAGAAACGTGTCCATTTTTTTCAAAATTTCATATTATTCTATAGTTTTGTATTTCTTATATTTCAAAATTTGTATTATTTATTTATGACATCATGAAATTATCCATTTGGCCCAAATGGTTGAAGTACTTACCCACGACTTAGACGGAAAATATTGATGGAGGGTGATTTGGCCCGACCTCATCATAAGAGGATGCGTGGACGTGACTCAACATAAGTGACAACTCAACGCGACCAATCCGCCAAGATCCAGCGTGGCAGCTCGCTACAAGATGACACTCCGATTACCCCGAGCTAAGATTCTTCCAGGTAGGAAGCGCCCCGAGCTAAGGTTCTCCCAAGACGGGAATCTCCCGAGCTGAAGGCACTTCGGGTTGAGCTCGGCAGCCTCCTAAGAATAAACTCGCCCATCCAAACTCAAGTAGGCCACCTCGGGTAGAAGCACTTTGGCACAGGGTAGCTCGGCACAGAGTAGCTCGGGGCAGAATAGCTCGGCATATCACAGGAAGATCTCCTGCCTGACAACCGTACCTTCCAAATCTGGAGACTACGCCCATGTCTCTCGCCAGGCAGCGTCGTGACTGGCAACCCTGAGAGGTGTCCCTTGTCTGGCAGGGCCGTACTCTGCAACAGTTACCTGCTTCCATCGGCACAGCCCTGGCAAGTAACGGCTGCAGCAGAGAATCAGAGGCGGTTATACTTGATTTGTCAGGACATCAGTATATAAGAGCTCTGACCCCCAAGAGCAAAGGTAACTTGTGTGATCTGCACTCTAGCCCTTTCATTTTTGCTCCGCAACTCTCTCTTCCTGCTACTAACTTAAGCATCGGAGTATTCCCGCCGGGAGAGCTCCCTGAGGATCCTTCTTCTTCCTCACAGGTATCTCATCCATCGCCAGCTAGGAGTGACCAGATCACGCACCATCAATTGGCGCCGTCTGTGGGAACGCTTCGAAAAGCCTTCTTCCACCAAACTTTGCAACTTCAGTTTCCATGGCTTCCTCCAGCAATGTCGGACATAACGTAGAAATGAATACCGCCGGGTCCAAATCCAGAACCCTCTTGGGAGTCGGGTCTCATCCCACGGAAGGGAGAAACAGGCCATTCCACCTGCCTCACAGCATGTGAATAGGTCGGGAGACCTTTAGCTTGCCAGACCCGCATCACCTCGATTCTCGGAGTTCAAAATCCCGCTCATGGAAAATCGGTTTGAGGTCCTGGCCGCAAACTCCAAGCAAGGTCCCTCCATCCGTAGCCATCACCAGTAGTCTGAGCCACTTCCCGCGAGAACGGTGCCTGGCAACACAGAGGCCAGCAGCACCAACGCAGAACCAACAAAAAAGCAACGAAGACGCCACAGAGCTCACCGAGATACAAATCTTTACTTCGCACTTTGTCTCCAACAAGAGATGCCCAAGGACCCAAGAAAGCCTCCTCGGCATAGTCCAGAGGGAAGGGGAGTCCATCCGCAACTACATCAAGAGATTCAATGATGCATGCCTACAGATACCTGACCTGGACCCTGCGGTGAGGCTCACAGCAGCCAAGAGAGGAATAACGCACAAGGAGTTCAAGTGGCACGTGATTGTCAACAGACCTAAGGATGTAATTGAATTCCTCAAGCTCGCGGACCAGCTCATTGGAACGGAGGAGGAGATGAACCAGAAGAGCGAGAACCCACCTGAGAAGAGGAGAAGAGAAGGTGAGTCCTCGACCCACGGGGACAACAAGAAGAAAAAAGAACCAGCTCGGGGAGGAAGGCCAGATCAGTCTTTCCGAGCTCCTCCAGCCGAAAGGCCGAACTACACGCCATTGAACGCGAAGCGAGCTGAGATCCTCATGGCAATCAAGGACGTGACATACGTGAAGTGGCCACCTTGGATGAGAAGAGACCCGAACACTAGAAATAAGAATTTGTATTGTCATTTCCATAGAGATCACGGTCATAGTACCGAAAGTTGTAAAAACCTCCGCGATGAGATTGAAGAACTCATCCGTCGCGGATATTTAAGAAATTTTGTACAAAATGATAGTAAAACAGGGCGGCGGGGGGATAAAGGTAGAGATGCTCCCGAGACCAGCAACAGACATGGTGACCAACTGTAGAGGCAGCCACCCGAAGAAAGGCCAGTTTGGGGAATGATCCAAATGATTACCAGAGGATCAATCATCGCGGTCTGCACCTCGGCCGCGGCAAGGACCTCGGCTCGTGAGATCGAAAGAAAAGAGTGGAATCCCCCGAAGCGGCCAAAGACAGAGGAACTGATCTTCTTCATCGAGGATGACGCGCGTGGAGTCCAGTACCCCCACGATGACGCGCTCGTTGTAAAGAGAAGAATCAACGATTTCGAGGTGAAGTGTGCCCGCCTTGACTCCGGCAGTTCGGCAGACATACTCTTCAAGCCCGCTTTCGACAAGCTTCAGCTTCAGGAGAGCGATCTCAAGCCCGCGAACACTCCCTTGGTGGGCTTCAGCGGAGAGGAAGTTAGGCCCCTGGGGAGAGTCCTCGTATCA